GCGTTCAAGTAACACGCCTACGAGTAATGCGTTCACAGAAATACGAATTTGATCTTATTTCGATACATATTTAGCTTTCGTGCGAAACGAAATGTTAGATGGGTTTCTATTATTATTTATTTTGGGCACGTGGACGAGCCTCAAGCGAGGTTTCCGCGCCCAGAGATAGCGAGGGGTATTCGGGTCTGCAGATGTTGGGAGCAGAACACGGGTCTAGGGATGTTTTTAGGGCTATATGCGCCCAAGATAAGTGGTCGGTCAGAGTAGGGGGGGTTCTCGCGGTCAACACTACACACCAAGGACGCCAAACTGACGACTCGTCGATGACCAGGTGGATTTCTGATGTAACAAAACATTTTTTTTTAAATGGCGCAGATGATAAAACTTACTCACGAACCGCGTGGTATAAATTTTCATTTTCCTGTGTTTTTTTAATATGGCAATTCGTTTCTCGTGAGATCATTATTGCCAGTGTATATAAAGATCTTCGATTATAAAACAGATGTTATTTATAAAATGATGCGAAGCTAAATGAGATGAAGTTGATAATGATTATTAATTTAAGACTTTAATCAAATGAGATGAAATTAAATGAAAAGAGATGATGATCCGTACGAAATACAGTATCGATAAAATGGTGATTATTTACTTAATTTTCAGTGGACTTCTAAGAGAGATCTCGAGAAGCAAAGTCCAGTGGTTTTGTTTCATTTACCCAGATTTGTACATTCTCAGATGAGCTAAACATTTCATAAACCACCGTGATTACACGTTCAAACCTGAACAAAACATTGAATTAACAAAATAAAACGATTCACGCATATTCGCTGCTCGCCCTCCCGCCAAAAAGTCTAATATAAATATTGTTTGATTCGTTCATTGGATATGCAAACATAAGAAAAACAGACCATACAGCCTTATAAATAACGTAAAATGGCTGTTCGTTTCTTGCTGTTGTATAAAAAGTGAAACGGAACGTATTCTCATGAAATTTATTTTTCGGTATAAAATGATGAAATGGATAATAATATACCACAACATGTGTGAAGGTTTAGACGAAAACGAAGAGGCTCTCATTAAAATTATCAGAGTTTACTCAAAGTTTCATTGTTAAGCTTTTCCGGAGAACCCGGATATGTTCTAGAGATCTCCTTTCCTCTTTCTCCTGTCGTTGTACGGTTTTACAAATGCCTTCTCAATGGGTCGCTATTCCGATCCGGCGGTAGATTGTGCGAAGCACTGCTCTTGCTAGGTCTAGCGTTGGCAAATGCTCTTGGGTTGAGCACGTGAGCTCACCTACCCGTCCGCAGGTAACTGGAAATAGCCTCTCAGGCTACCAACAAACAGGTAGGGTTTAAACAAAGGTTGAACGGTTAACGAGCCATCATAATGACACAGTTATTTTATGTCATTAATTTAAAAAGAAAAAAAATCACTCAGTTTGACAGTTCGCTTTCCCGCCAACAAAGATCGTAAACATCACAAACAGGTATCGATCATTTCTAATGAAATACGTGCATATTAAATGTTCAAAAATGACCTCTACGTTGACGGAATAACATCGTGTAATAAAAATCAAACCTTGCGGGTTTGTAATTTGTAATTGGAACGAAGTTCCTTACGGCAGGCTTGGAGGGGATAGGGATTTTGCTGCGCGACCGAACTGAAAAAAATGTGATAGTAAAACCGTAAGAAAAAATCCGTGGAAAAAAGTGCGTGGAATAAAACCGTTAAATGAGACGTGCGCAGGCGCGACAGTCGCATACACAAGCGAGTAGTGTATAATATTTTATTTTAAGTAATTTATTATTTCCTAAAATACTGAATTTCCTAAATACTTTCTTGTACTTAAATAAAAACTAATCAGCAAAATTTAAGAGAAAAATCAAGAAAACCTACATGAAATTGAGCACGATTTTTTTTGCAATTTGTGTCGATTCTACATTAGCCGAAGGAACTTCGTTCCCACCTGGTGTCCCACAACACCACAGAATTTTTTGGTAAAGCGTGCAGCGGCTTGACTTTGCCCCTGGCATTGCTGAAGTCCATGGGCGACGGTAACCACTCACCATCAGGTGAGCCGTATGCTCGTCTGCCTACAAGGGCGATAAGAAAAAGAGTATTGTGAGCTCGCACGGGTATATACCGCGAACCGGCCTATTTCTGCCGTGAAACAGTAATGCTTTTGCGGTTTGAAGTGTGATCAGTTGTTGTTGATGTCTATGGGCTCCGGCAACAACTTAGCAACAGCTGGGCCGTAAGCTCTTCTACCCATCTAAGAAATATAGAAATTTTTTTATCCGAATTTGAATTGTGATTATTAGTCTTCTTAAATTCATTATATACTATACCCCTTTCTAAGTAAGCCACGTATCCATCACAATACCTGAAAACTATATCCACGTTACACGGGCCGTGTTCACGGTTGCTCAAAGCTCAACAGATATCAACAAAAGTCGAATATCATATCTTCGGGCTTCGGTTATCATCATTTAATAAGCTAATTATTATCGCATAGAAAACAAACCCAGTCTAGATTTTCGTTTTGCAAGAAAGCCGGTAGAACACGTTCGTAACTCGATACTTACGGCTCAAACTTGTTTTGTTCCACCAGTTAGTTATGCGAGTCGCATTAAAACACTCGCGAATTTTATAGTACTCACACAGCCTTATACCTTGTATGTTAAGATAACAAACGAAATTCAGAGAATAAAAAAAAAACAAGCAAAACCTTCCATGATAATAATGGCTTGTCCCCAATGCCAATGAGTACAGAATCAGACTTGGAGTATTCATCCCGGAGTCAGATTTTATGGTGACTTTAAAAGTAGGCGGCGGTTTAGCTCTGCCCCTGGCATTGCCGACGTCCATGGGCGACCGTAACCATTCACCATCAGTTGGGCGGTATGCTCGTATGCCTACAAGCGCAATAATAAAATTATACTTGAAACACATTGTAAATTATTTGTTCTGAAATAATTTCTAATAGCACCTCTGATGATACACACTGTGTCAAAAAACGGCAAGCACCAATCTCTGTCCATACACACAATAGGCCAATAAAGTTTGAGTTTTAATACTGTGCACTGCGTTTTCTGATAAGTTAATTCTTTAAAGTCGAGTTGTTGTTGCATTGTTCAGTACAAACTACTCTTTAGTTATTCGAAAATGATTCATCTAGTTCATTATATGTTTTATAATAAGGAATACTAAAACTTACAGCTAGAATTTTTTTATTGAAAACGATTGCAGTAATTGTAGGAAACGAAATATCAATTTCTTTAAAATATTTTTATGGGAGCACGGTGGTCTTTAGACTAGTTTGAAATGCAAATGGTTTAAAACAAGAATTGACATGAAGTTGGAAATGATAATAGTATCGAAACTTCCTAACCATCAAATCGAACTTCATAAATTATGTGTGACACATATATTTAAGACAGTTAACCCAATGTACACTTTTCTATCCTACCATGAGTAAAATTAGAGAAGGATAATTTAAAATAGGAGAGGACACTACTACTACAGCTGAGTATCCAGTAGCAACACAGAAGTCCTGATGAACATACACATGTCCTCATGAAAAGCCCTAAAGACTATTTATATTCTGGGATTTTTTAATTTTAAGCATGTGTAGACATAGTTCACATTTGTGTGTTATCAATCATCATAAGCTATAAAGCAATGTTTCTAGGCTATTTCAGAGAGTGTTACAGGTTTCAACCTCAAAACCATTATCACCATATGATACCATTAATGTATATTACCAACTTTGTCAACATAACTAAACTCATACGCAGAAGCTTTGGCTTTCTTAGAGACACACAGGACCTACTCGTCAGCTACTTTACAGTAACAAGAAAGAACTAGATTTTGTCACGTTTCACATATTAAAACTTAAATAAGTCATAAGGCAACAAAGAATTTACTTAAATGTAAAATGAACCTGACAAAATACAATGAAGAGAAGGGAACCTGCTAATTTATGATAAAAGAAATGTCTAATATACCAGCGGCAGTAATTTAAGGCCGTCTGAAGTAATAAGCAAGACTTGTGTTCTTATAACCCATAGTTAAATGGGCTTCAATTAAGATAGACATACATTTAAGACGATGAAAATTGTAACGACTTCTTAAAGTTCTTAAACTAATAATATGTGCTCTTATTATTCTATTTTCGTAATTGCTTTAAGTTAAAATTTTGATAACGTAACTGAGTAAGTCACAAACCACACTACCAATAATTTAATGCGTACTCAATGTTATTAACCACATTATGGACAAAAGGATTATAACAGACGGTTGATTATTTCCCAAATAATATTACTCAGTCTAGAATATTCTCTTATCTGATGACAGGTTATCTTTGGATTGCCCCAATATGCGGTCTTCATGTTGTTACTTTTATAAGGGTACATAAGAGTGTGATTACATACATTATTTTATTTCCATTTAGAATCATCATTTGGATTGTTTATGTTCATGTTAATCAACACACAGTGCATCAGCTGTATCAAATTACGTTTCACTAATTAACATGTGATGGATACAATAAATAAACGTAAAAGTTCCACATTTTACTGTTTTAATCTTTACGTAATTACTGTTTAGAAACTATATCAGCTAGGTTTGTGTTTTATTTCTCTTATTGCAATCGAAAGCAGGCAAACATACGGTCCATGTGAATGGTGATCGTCGTTCAACGAAATTAACAATATAGCGCCCGCTGTCTTGTGCCAAATTCTCTGTAATTTATTACAAAATTACCGAAAAACCATAACAAATATTATTTCGGAAACTTAATTTTAACTATGCTTTTGACATTGGCACACGACGCCAATTTATATCAAATTTCATGAGTTTGTAAACTGAAATGTTAAAATAAGGCATGTATTGAAACAAAATTACGCTGATCGGTACTTAATTTTCGCGGAAAAAAAATAAGGTGACAAAATCGAAGTATTTTTTATGTTTATTACATCACATAGTTGTTTACTCACCAATTTCTGAAGTTTCACGTAATACGATGTACAGTATTATCACAAGATCACAGAAATAACATATCACACACTAATAAGACGCGACAATATAGAATACTAAATGATATAAATCCGAAAGATGTGTATTGACCGCGTACATTTATGAAACCATAGCAAAAATATGCATTTTTTATTAACTTATATCGATTATAACGAGGGCACGAGATCTTCTGGTTTCGCGATTCGGATAAAGTGAGTCTCTCTCACGTTGTTTGTGGCGTAATACTCTCGAACACCTTAGTAATTTCATTAATAACACGTAAAAATCGATCCCAACAACACAGTCGACAATTCAAACAGAAGATTGCGGGCAGCGTGTTAAATGCATTAATATATTTTTTAGATGAACGGGACCTATACTAAACACCAGATATCGGATTGCATAAGCGTTTTTCGCGGCTGTTTGTAACGAATTTTTTTGTGGAATACTTTCATTTATACAAAGGTTAAAAACATATCTACGTATCGAAACACAGAACGTGTCCGCCCTCACACACGTTCGCCGTGATACTAAATCTAATATAGATGTCGCACCACTCGCACCATTACGGCAGCCATCTTTTTAAATGGTGGTCAACTCGAAGCGTCAAAACATTACAAGCATTTTTTACTGTACAGCCCATAGGTTTAAGTTCATTTTTAATTGTTTTTTTTTTCGAAGGTACAGCTTTTCGATCGTACTACGCGCTTAATCGAAAGGTACGTTGTAACACAGCGATTTCACCTGAATGTACGACCTTTCAATATTGGACGTATAAAAATGATACAGTCTGTCTCTTTTCAGCTTTTTTTCATAATTCTTTCGAACAAATACAGGGTGTACGCTTGCGCGAATTGAATCTTATTAGTGGTTCAATTCCATACTGTATTTGCTACCGGTTAAAGTGTAAATGAAGTTAATTATTTGATATGTTAATCCTATTACGATTCCACAGAATGTTTACAAATCACAAAGTCGTTGTTTCCTAGATTTTTATAAAATCCATCAATAGGCTGTTTAGTATATGTACATAATGTTTAATTTCAATTAGGTAACTCGTTCAGTCCTAAATACACTATATCTTATGCCGTAATGTCGCTCTTTAATAAAGAAACAGAGCTGCTTAATTATTTAAGTGCCATTAAGGCTTAACTTTACTTATAAATAAGAATAGTGGCGGCATGAGCAGAACTTAAAAAGATGACCTTAATTAATTCTTGTATCGAAAGCATAGCTAAAGTCACAAACGATATGGTTAAATAAAAAGATAATACTAACTGGCAGCAGTTAGCTCCCTAGAGGGTTCGAGGGTTGTGCACTCAACTCCTACTACCGGCAAACATTCATGTGACTAATGTTTTGTCTGTGTATGCTTGATTTAGAAGAAAAAAAATAAGGCACATTTTTCTTTTTTTTAACAACATTAAAACCCAAAGAATCTGTTTTGAACATCCCTTTGAACGATAAATTTTTAGAAAAACAATTCAAGAGTCCCTTTTTAACTTAACTTAATACAAAGAGTTTGATGGCCAGCGGCAAAACGTACAACGTGAAATGATTCCATACACCGTTGTAGGCCTTGCGGCTCGGGATCCTTTGTAACGGAATAAAACTGCTTGAATAAGCTCAACCTTTTAACGGGTAGCAGCTGTTTTAGAAAGTTTTCAACACCTATGACCATAGAAGTGATATAATCTGATCGTCAATAACTATCTTTGGCATTGAGGCCAAGGCTCTTCCTAGGGTTTATGTTAGCAAATTCGAATGAACTCGCCTACCAAACTATGCGATGCTAGAATAGCCCCTTAAAGCTACCAGCGATTAGATAGGGAAAAAATGAAGTAAAAGAAAATTACACTTTTCATCATTCATCATCATTATCCTGCCCTTCTCCCAGTCACCTGGGGTCGGCGCAACATGTTTTCTCCTTCCATACTCTTCTATCATATACCATTTCTTCGCTCACTCCCCTCCTACCCATATCGTCTTTCACACAATCCATCCATTTCTTCTTAGGTCTACCTCTTCCTCTAAATCCTTCCAAATTCATAGTTAACACTCTCTTAACAACCTCATTTTCATTTCGTCTCATCACATGCCCATACCATCCCAAACGTGCACTCCTCAGCTTCTCTGTCACAGGTGCCACTTTCAGACTTCCTCCAACATATTCATTTCGTATTCTGTCCATTCTCGTTACTCCACCCATCCATCGCAACATTCGCATCTCTGCTGCATGCAATCGCCTTTCATCCGCCTTTCATTCATCATGTACACTTTTATCATAATTGAAGGATTTTTCAATATCGTACAAATATCATAACTCGCAACGTATCGGGTTTCAGGTGTGATTAGATTTCTTTACCATTTTCGCTTAATTGACTAGAAATATTGCGAAATAAACAAATCACTCGGTTCTATTGTTGTGCGGGCTGCGACCTTTTCTTTCCTACCTATTCTAGTGACCTCAAGGGGTCATGCTAGATTCACCGATCGAGTAGGTGAGCTCACGGGGCTGTAACCTGGAGACGTTGCTAACACTAGCCTTAGCAAGAGCAGAGCTTCGCTGAATCTACCACAGGATCGGAAATCGGAAGCGCGACCCACTGAGAAGATACGGCGAAAAAATTCAGTGGACTATGTCTGTGGGTTAATTTATTCGCCGAGCCCTTCGTCGCAAGCGACGGGTTCGACCAGCACGGTGATCGGTGCTCGGGGTATCTAAAAGCAACGATAGTGGATCGGGAGGATCCGAAACGACGTGCTTAGGGCCAAGTCGATTGTTTACCATTTGGTTCACAGGATCGGGTATGTAGATATTGGCGGCCACGACAAGAGTTTTCGTGTCGCGCCGTTTTCTCAGTCGAACTTCATATCGTGGTAAAGATCCGCGTACGAGCTATGCTGATTTGCATTTAATAAAATTATTTATTTCTGTTCATGATGTACTGCCATCTATCGAATAAAAATATATTGAACTCGAAGCAAACCGAGGTCAGGTTCAATGTTTTGCACAGAGATGCCGCTTTAGTCGCCCCTGTCTAGAAAATAAAGAAAAATTCGTGAATGCAGCTGTTTTCAGAGAAACAGTGTCTCAAAAACGACATTCTGATTAAATGACACGGTTTAATTTTCAAAAATTGAAAACTTCTGTGCTGTATCATTAAATCGTAATGTTTGGGCTGAAACTGAGTTCAAATAAATGATTATAAAATATGAATGTGTTAAATGCCTCCAATATCCTGACGGCTTTGATGTTTTGAAACAAGTTCGCTAAATGTAGTTTTTAAGATTCTTCAAAAAATCTATTGAACTCTCTGTATATTCATTCAATAGGCTGTATAGGTTTTCTTCTTTTTGCCTATTCATTGAACGAATCTAAAAAAAAAGAAAATGTCATCAGTGTCCAAAATTGAAAACATAACCTAGAATTTCTACTGAATTTACAGTATAAAAATTAAAAATGAAGCTGAATTAGTACATAACAATTAATAATAATTAAATTTATTTGGGAAAAGAGTAATAAAGCGAATAAAAATGCGTTACTTACAGTATCTAAGTTTACGTCGTTCTTTATTGGGATCGAATGCAAAAAATATACAGGCAGATATACGAAACATCGTTCAAAATAGTTCGTATGCAGCAAAACAAAAGNACAGTATAAAAATTAAAAATGAAGCTGAATTAGTACATAACAATTAATAATAATTAAATTTATTTGGGAAAAGAGTAATAAAGCGAATAAAAATGCGTTACTTACAGTATCTAAGTTTACGTCGTTCTTTATTGGGATCGAATGCAAAAAATATACAGGCAGATATACGAAACATCGTTCAAAATAGTTCGTATGCAGCAAAACAAAAGACCGCAAGTTCTATATACCGAACTATGAATATATTTGATAGGAAAACTAAGATGATACAAAGAGAAAGAGCAGCCTGTAACGAGGAATACCACTTGTCTGAATACGTTAAAGAAGAAATTGGTTGGCGGACAGCTGACAAAATATTCGACATTAAAAGAACGTTCAAAAACGCTGTAGAACTGGGTAATGTAAATGTTTTCGTTTCTTTATTCCATTAGGGGCTCTGTGTGCTGCTCCAACACCTGATTGGTAAGACTCATGATCTATCTCCTGCACCGGTCATCATTCTCGTCGAACCCGTCGCTTGCGACAAAGGGCTTGGCAGTAAATTATCCCACACACACAGCCCACTGAGGTTCTCGCCGAGTCTTCTCAGTGAGTCGCGCTTCCAATCTGGAGGTAGATTCTGCGAAGCACTGCTCTTGCTAGCAACGTCGTCAGGTTTGAGCCCCATGAGCTCACCTACTAGTTCGGTGAATCTAGAATAGAGCGGAATCTAGAATAGAACCCGCGAGCTTACTAGAATAGGTAGGAAAAAAATGAACTACACCAGCATTAATTACAGTGATTACTTACCAGCAGGTGGTAACAATAATAATAGTAATAAAGGTAATAATTCTCCAACAATTGGATTTAACTGTTACATGTAACATTTTAATTTTAACAATAATAGCATGATATGAATCGATAGATTTTCACACCATTTGGCTTAAACAACATTGCTTAAAAAGTGACATTTATCTACGTAATTAAAATCAGTTCATTTGGTATTAGTATCAACAATTTGATGTTTTTAATTGAGCTTCAATTAAGTTTACCCCATTCAAATAAGCTGAAGAATTATTTTTTTATGATATATTTTCCAACTTTTGAACTTTAAATGGTTCTTCTATAAAGTTGCAAAAATTTCGCTTAAGTCTTTCTTTCACCCCTTGATATGATTACAAAAGCATTACATATTTATTTATAAATTAGTATATGAGCATTGCTATTTATAATTCGATTACTTAGAAGTTCATTACAGTTCTGTCTCCCGGAACAGTCTCAGACAGTGACAAACAGTACCGAACTTTGGGATGAGCTCCCCTCCATGGTGTTTTCCGAGCGCTATGACACGTCCTTCTTCAAATGAGGCTTTTGGAGAGTATTAAGTGGTAGGCAGCGGCCTGGCTCTGTCCCTGGCATTGCTGAAGTCCATGGGCGACAGTAACCACTCATCATCAGGTGGGCCGTATGTTACAAGTCTGCCTACAAGGGCAATAAAAAAAAGTTTATTATGTTTCCACAGTATTTTTTGTTGGTATATGTCAGGAGCCTCTCGTGGATATGTATCACGACACTTCCTGCCGGACAGCGTGGAGAAGGTGACACTGTGTGACACATCCAGAACTCATCTCGATAAGGCAATAGTTGGTGAGGGCGTTCAATATGAAAAGATGATAATGGACGAGGAAAATTTTGAAGTGAGTATGAATCTTCATCACTATCCGTGTTATGTTGTAAGGTTTTTCTGATTGAGGACGGTCATGTATGGGATAGTGAGAACAGATAAAATGTAGATTGTGAGAATGCAAAGAGAAGTAGTGAGAAGTGCCATCCAATCCACCAATAATGGCACTACACAATGATCACCATGACTGATTCTTGAAAACATAAAATATGTAAATTAATAATAAAAAGTCTTAAGACAAATCATATACTATCACCTAATCCTGTGTGAGAATTTCCTCTACATATTAATATACATAATATATATATTAAAAATGTATATAAATATTATACGAATCAGTTCTTAACATAATGTTTGCCCGATGTGGTAAGCAATATTTCAGGTGCTGTCAATTACTCAACGATTGTGCCTCTGAGTCAGTCATGAAGAAGAAAATAGCCATAAGCCTGAAGTTATTAAGGAGACTACAAATTTTCAAGTCACTAAATTGATCATTTTCCTTTTTATTTCCAGTTACCAGACGACAGCGTTGATCTGTTGGTTTCATCGCTTACCTTCCACTGGGTGAACGACCTTCCAGGACTCTTTGACAGGATAATGAAATGCCTCAAACCTGATGGTGTGAGTTTTCTACTTTTTTAGTTTTACTCTACTGGTTTGTTTTTTTAAGAAAGATAAATAGAATGAATGGTGTGATAATAAAAAGGAACTTACGAAATTATTTCAAATGATTTATCAAACTGCCCAGAATTTTATACTGTATATGGTCTCAGGTGACAGACTTCTTCTAGCCCTTACCATGGGAGTAACAAAGAAGTGAAAATTTTCGACAGCAATTTTGTGAGAAGTAAAATAATTTTTACTAATTGAGTCGTCTATTATCAAAGCCGGCAATCTGACTTTTGGACAATGATTGGTAAATCAGAAAAACGAATTATTGACTTTGTATTCCATTGGCAGTCACAAAACTCTTCGGAACGACATCTTAGATAAATAACAGGTTAACTATTAACCTTTATTTAATGCAGGTTTTGAACCGTATTCTTTGAAGGAGACGATTATANACTTTTGGACAATGATTGGTAAATCAGAAAAACGAATTATTGACTTTGTATTCCATTGGCAGTCACAAAACTCTTCGGAACGACATCTTAGATAAATAACAGGTTAACTATTAACCTTTATTTAATGCAGGTTTTGAACCGTATTCTTTGAAGGAGACGATTATATTCAAATCAATCTGTATTGACATATCAATAATTTTTTTTTGTTCAAATGCACAAATTGCCACCTTTGATAATAGACGACTCATTTATTGTATTTGTCACACAAGTATTATAATTGTAAGGTCTTATTTTGTTTTCTATTGCAACTTACAATCTTATTTTATTCAATCTTATCTTAATGACAATTCTCGTCCAAATTATGCTTGTCTCGTTCAGGTGTTGCTGGCTTGCACCTTCGGTGGAGACACCCTGATGGAGCTGCGTCAGGCGCTCCAACTGTCTGACTTGGAGCGGAGAGGAGGGGTTTCTCCTCATGTATCACCGTTTACCAGACCCACGGACATTGGGGGTTTGCTCAATGCGTGCGTGTGATAGAGCTTAATAATTAAACTGAAGGATATATTAATTATTTTTTGGTGTGTTGAGTATAAGTGTTGTATGTTTTTTGGTGTTACACTGTTAGCCTCGAGGATACGCTTTAGGTTCAAGTATTATAGGATGCAGTTGTAATTAAATTCAGTTCAAGGATAATCATCATCATCATCATTCCTTCCTATTGCCCTCTGCTGGGGTGTAGGGCTCGAATCAAATTTTTCCATTTGCATCGGTTTTGGGCAGTTTGTTCTAGTTCCTCCCGCGTCATGCCCAAGACCCCTAGCTCCTGCTCCATCGAGCGACGCCAAGTTGTTCTGGGGCGGCAAAAATTTGGATTTGTATTCATCACTCGAAATTGTCCGTTCTATTGATGTATATTGTTTTAATATTCAAAAATTAATTTCTATACTATTACTTTATTCCCATCAATTTTGAATATGTATAGTATTTTAATTTAAAAAAAAAACAATGTTAAATAATGAAAATGAACTACCCACCATATTACCACAAGAGTAGATTTTATATAAATCGAGATCCCATGTCCGGATCTGATATAAGTACTCTTCTCCTCCAGTCTAGCTATTCGTCTCTGAAGGTCGTGACCACTTGCATTCATGACTTTCATCCTCATGATATTGTGTTATCTCGACCTCTCTTCGAGCACTCTGAGAGCATTACATATGTTTTTCTTCCAGTGCTGGTTTTACGTTGCAAACAGTGGACATAGACAAAATGACGATTTGGTACCCCAGTGCCTTTGAGTTGATGCGCGACCTAAGGTTGGCTGGCGAGANCGTCTCTGAAGGTCGTGACCACTTGCATTCATGACTTTCATCCTCATGATATTGTGTTATCTCGACCTCTCTTCGAGCACTCTGAGAGCATTACATATGTTTTTCTTCCAGTGCTGGTTTTACGTTGCAAACAGTGGACATAGACAAAATGACGATTTGGTACCCCAGTGCCTTTGAGTTGATGCGCGACCTAAGGTTGGCTGGCGAGAACAACGCAGCCCACAATCGTTCGGGACATCTGCCCCGGGACGTGCAGTTCGCTGCCGCCGCCATATACGACCAGATGTACGGGAAGGTGCGTGGTTTTGATGCTAGTATGGTACTAGATACTAGTATGGTACTAGATACTAATATGGTACTAGATACTAGTATGGTACTACATACTAGTATGGTACTAGATACTAGTATGGTACTAGATACTAGTATACGTACTAGGCTGTTTGGCAGGAACGCGAGGAGCGAAGTTCGCCGAATTGTTTTATTGTATAATGTTTCTTTGAGGTTTAAACGTATATATTAATGCTGGCTTTTTATTGTCATCTGTAATGGTGTACAAGTGAAAATGAGACGAAATAGCTCCGAACGTAGCTTCTCGGGTTCCTCCAAAAAGTCCTGAATGCCGGAATTGATCCACTACGATGCTTAGTGCTCACGAAAAAAACTTGACTAGTGGACATCTGCATCAGAAGATGCAGACTGCGTTTTTTTTTACCTAGATGGTTAGACGAGCTTAAGTGGTTACTTGTGCCCATAGACATCTACAACGTAAATGCCGCCACCCACCTTGAAATATGAGTGCTAAGTTCTTACTTTTAACAGTATAACAGCTACCCTCTTCAAACCGAAACGCATGACTGCTTCACGGCAGAAATGGGCAGGGCGGTGGTATCTACACGCGCGGACTCACAAGACGTCCCTATCAGTAGTGATTACGCAAATTAAAATTTTGCGGGTTTGATTTTTACAACACGATGTTATTCCTTCACCGTGGAAGTCAATCGTGAACATTTGTTAAGTACGTATTTCATTGGAAAGATTATTGGTACATAACCGCCTGCGGGATTCGAACACCGTTGCATCGCTACATACGAATGCACCGGACGTCTTATCCTTAGGCCACGACGACTTCGCAGTTTTGTCAATTTTAATATTGATTTGACAGGACTTCCCCGAGAGGGGTTCCAGGGGAGTCCCGGCTACGTTCGAGATTATCAATTTCGTCGGCTGGAAGCCTGACCCCTCCCAGCCGGCTCCGATCCAGCGCGGCTCGGGACAGGTTTCTCTGAAGGATCTGCACAAAATCGACGAGATATTACAGAAGACAACCACGATTAAAGTTGATGATGATGATAATAAATAAATAAATTGAATAAAAACATTGCGTGTTCAAGTTTATTTGTGTACGCTTAGTGCCTTCGTTTGCCGCTAGGNCGGCTGGAAGCCTGACCCCTCCCAGCCGGCTCCGATCCAGCGCGGCTCGGGACAGGTTTCTCTGAAGGATCTGCACAAAATCGACGAGATATTACAGAAGACAACCACGATTAAAGTTGATGATGATGATAATAAATAAATAAATTGAATAAAAACATTGCGTGTTCAAGTTTATTTGTGTACGCTTAGTGCCTTCGTTTGCCGCTAGGGGCGCTGTTCTTTTATTTATTACTTAGATGGGTGGATGAGCTCACAGCCCACCTGTTGTTAAGTGGTTACTGGAGCCCATAGACATCTACAACGTAAATGCGCCACCCACCTTGAGATATAAGTTCTAAGGTCTCAGTATAGTTACAACGGCTACCCCACCCTTCAAACCGAAACGCATTACTGCTTCACGGCAGAAATAGGCAGGGAGGTGGTACATACCCGTGAGAACTCACAAGTGGACCACTTGTACTTGTACCACCAGTAAAAATACAAATTCATACCAATTTACATACAAATTTGAGTTAAATTTTACGATATCGAGAATATATAATTTGTTGTAAAACGATGTTACGTTAATTACAAAATTAATTTATTTTCCCTTTTCCGTTTACTATTTATAACACCTGTATTCAGGTGTTATGTGGGTATTGCCAACACCGAAAATAATCGTCAAAACAATTATACGATTATAATAAATTAAAGGAAAAACGACTAGCATTTTTGTATTGTTTGTTGAACGTAGCAGCAGAGATGATCATTTTAAATCTAATTAGTTATTTTATTTTATTAAAAGTAGTTTGTGCCGCTGGTGTTTGCAAATCTACAGAAAAGCCAGGTTCGTTTGCATTTTTTTCTTTTTTTTTGTCAAGGGGAAACGATACATGTTTATCTAAAATTCTAATATAGTTATTTACGCTGTATTTTTGATTACATTAAATATACAGAGCCCTCTGTCTACTTCACAGATAACCCCTGGGGGTCTGTATGTGGTCTACTTACGCATAAATGTTGCGTTGTGGTAAATGAGCGTGGACTGTATTTATTGCTTTTGATATATTTATTAATCCTTATGTGACAAATTAAAGATTGAATATAATAGAAATATGGCCTTGGCGGCTAGAATTGAAAAGGAAAAAGTGTCAGAGCGAAGGTCGCTTGTTGACACTTTTGACGTTCCGAAATCAAATACATAAATCTCAACATTTAATGCGGACCTTTTGGCGGGAAAGCGAGTAGTGAAGTTTGAAGTTGTGTGATTTGTTTTATTCTGTTTATTTGGTGTTTCTTCACGTTCAAATGTGTAATAACGGTGGTTTACTAACTGTTTAGTACCTGTAAAAGTGCACAAATATGGGAAAATGAAACAAAGCCGCTGGACGTAACTTCTCGGGATCCTCCAAAAAGTTCATTGAAAAAATCTCAGTAATTAACAACCATTTTACTGAGATTATATTTCATCCCATATCATCTCTTCTTATTTAATTGATCCGGTCGTCCAGACCCCAGTTGATTAATGTCTCAAATTAATCATCTTCATTTCATTTTATTTCACTCCCTATTATCATTTTTCATAAAAATAAGAATATTAATTAAAACAATACATGACCTAAAGGTCTTAGTTACCGGGTCGTAAATACCTTAAAAAAAGACATTTAATGCCAAAGTCGAGTTCATCATTACAATGTTATAACCTGAACAGTTTAAATAGTATTGTATTTAATACTCATAATCATAGTATAAATGTAAAAGTTTTGAGGTATTTGAATCATGCAAAAGTCGACTAATCGACTACTATGTGTTCAGTGCGAGTTTTTCAACGTTCTCGATAGCGTAAAAGTTAACTCAAATTTGTATGCAGTTGGAACAGCGCCCCTAGCGTCAATCGTTTTAAAAACTCCATACAAATTAGAGTTAACTTTTACGCTATCGAGAACGTTAAAAAATTGCACTAAGCAAACTGTCGTTTAGTAGGATACATTTTATCAAGGAAAAATGACATGACCGGCCAAACGCCAAGTGTTTCTTCTGTGTTCATTGGTTCTTGATTTTATGTACAATCGAGTAATAGAAAGGACTACGCTAGGAGTTTCCCTCCGAGATCAATTCAGAAATGAGAAGATTCGCTGGAAAACCGTGGTAACCGACATAGCCCAAAGGATTGCAGCGTTGAAGTGGCAGTGGGCAGGGCACATTGCACATTCGATTCGCCTCGAAGGCTCCGTCGGCTGGGCGTCCTTGGGGTGAGCCGCGCTGTCTGGTTGTAGTGTTGACCGCGGTAACTCCCCTACCTCATCCGGGTTCTGACTCTGACCTCGGAGGGGATCGGACGTCGGGTGTAAGAGTGCAGGGGAGTCGTTTAGTGGGTGGGCCCTAAAATCCTTGGGCCCGCGATTTGCTCTCAACACCTGCAGATCGTTGAATCTCACATACCCCGCGCGCCCCTTATGCGCGGCGACCTCGTAGGAGGTTCGGCCCCCGGCCCGAAAAAAAAAAGGGCACATTGCTGATAGAGTGGCAATGAAGTTCAGTTGGAGCGTGGTCGCCAGCCATTCGGACTAGGTCCTACCAGCGGTTATGTTCTCGGCTCCCGTTTAGCACTACCCAGGGCTCATTGGTCACTTGTGCGGAAAGCATCAACCCCGTCAAGCATCAACTCATCAATTTTAGCTCAAACGTACTTAAAACTATTTTTACGACTGAATCTAGCGTTTTATGATTGTCATTTATATAGGTATTAATACGTGAAGCAAAAACTTTGTATCCCTTTTTACGAAAATTGCGCGGACGGTGGAGTATGAAATTTTCCACACTTATAGAGAATATAGAGAAGAAGTGCACAATGCTAATATTTTTTTAAAATAATGCATAAAAGATACATTAAATCAATAAAGAAAACATTACACACACTACATACCGTGTATTTGACGCACACACGCATGCATACTATTTATTGTCAAACTTTTGTTCTTGACGTCTGTTGTCAAATTGAGAATAGATTAAATATCGTTTGTCTTTGTTAATATTTTTATAGCGTAGTCTTGGCGAAATTTATGATTCTAGAAGTATAAAATGCAATCATAATAGTGTACAAACTTACAATTCCAATTAATTATAGTCGAATTTCGACTACTGCGGGACCTCTAGTTATTACAAAATTTACGTGACCACGAAAACTATATGGTACACAAAACATCGGAAATAATGAAATTTCGAGATTAAAGCCGTATAATTAATTTTGATTGTGTCTAGAACTCGCGGCGATAACCGAAGAAAATTAGCTTAAGCCTTAAATGATATATTAGGTTGGGGAAAAGTTTCTTCGCATTTTTTAAGAAAATTCACAATATTTTTTAAAATAGTATATTTACATGACGATGTACAGCGAAGCGTTGCAATACCGCGCGGGAGGCCACCAATGCGGTGGACCGACCAAATTAACACTGCAGTGGGAGATCCCCTAAATGAGTGCAGTAGAATGGCCTCGAGCAGGGAGAGATGGCGCGACATCGTGAGACGCATCAAGTGTGCCTCTTCCAACACTACATGACGATCACGACCACTCTGTCAAGGGTGACACGACTGAGAAGAAGAAAATATTTACATTTAACTAAAGTATGTAGGTACCATTTTGTTCGATAACTTTTTGCCATCTTGTAGGTAGGGACATGATCCCATTGCTATAGAAATTTTGGGACTTCTGATCAAAATACCGCGACAATTGGTTTTGGCAGTCATCTCGTAATGTTAACCTGACACTGCCTAAAGAATTCTGAAGATACCGAAACAGGTGGAAATCTGAAGGTGCAAGGTCAGGACTATACGGCGGATGCATTAAAACCTCCCAGCCAAGCTCTTAATTTTTGCTGAGTGGCTAACATGTGTGAGGTCTAGCGTTATCATGATGAAAAACCACACCCCTTCTGTTGATTAATTCCGGCCGCTTTCTCTCAACTTCTTGCTTTAATCTCATCATACATTTTCCTAATTTGAATTTGGAATTAGGTATCTTTTTTTAAATTTAAACTTTTAATGATACCAAAACCAGCCAGATACAAATAGTATAGCCAAAGAGATTTTATTACAAGTTGATACATATCTACTACAATGCGAAAAGACTTTTTCCCCAATCTATTAGTATGTAAATATTAGTTTAAAGTACCAAGCGTCGGAATATCGACTATTAACGCAGTTTGATTATAGGTATTAGGTAGATAGGGTGGGTATTAGGTATTCTTAACGCACGCATTTATAACCCATTTAATAAGTTAATAACACAAATACCTAGTCAGGTCATTAATTCTGTCACATGTTTAATGTAAAATAATTGAAACAAGTTTATTTATTATGTAACCATTCATATACCAAAATGAACTTAACAAAACATATATTCTTATGACACTAAAGTTTATTCAAAATGACCTCCGTGATTTTGAATACAGGCCTTCAATCTGCGCGGCCAGTCGTCTATCGCAGCACGAACGAAGTCCATGTCAATATCGGCGGCTGCCTTAATCAAGGATGTCTTGAGTGACTCCAAATTGGGATGAGGCTTTGAGCACGCCTTTTCCTCCAAGTGTTGCCATATCTTGTAATCTAACGGATTCAAATCTGGACTGGAGGAGGGCCAGTCTTCGTGCCGGATGAAGTCGATTTCACGCGCCGCCAGCCAGTCTTGTGTGCTCTTCGCTCTATGAGCTGGCGCCGAATCTTGTTGGAATACCCAGTGCCTGTTATTGAACATGGTATGAGAAACAGGTTCCACAAGGTTCGTCAGGACTGTATTTTGATACACAACTGCATTCGTTTTTACACCTTTCTCACAAAAATGTACCTCTGTTAAGCCCCAATAAGAAACTCCCAACCATACCATGAGCGAGGATGGAAAATGACCTCGTTGGACACGCGGAATACGGTTGCTCGCTTCTTCACTACTGTGTGCGTACACCTTATCATTTT